GATCAAAAGCAGATTACTGTCATGCATGCTGTTCCGTCGCTTCTGAACAGTTTATTTGAATTTCTCAGAATAAGTAATCGTACGTCAGCAGTGAAACGTTTACGATCTTTATGTAGTGGCGGTTAGTACTTGTTTTTTTAAATAGCTAAGGTATCAGCAATTTCTTTGAATTAATTGTTTGTAGGCGAGGCTGTTAATGTTAACCAAGCTATTTTATTTCAAGATTTAGTTGGAGAAGAATGTCGAATTCGAAATCACTATGGTCCAGCCGAAATCACGATCAATTGTGCTTGTTATTTAATTGACCTGAGCAAAAGCCAAACAAACATTTCTATTGGTCAACTTTTACCCAACTATCAGTGTCTGGTTTTGGACAAGTTTTTACAGTTTGTGTGTATTGGACATGAAGGTGAATTGTTAGTGGGTGGTGTAGGTATCTTTGCCAGGTACTTCAATCGTGATGATTTGACAGCAAAGGCAATAATCAATATCAACGAGGAAATGTACTATAAAACAGGTGATCTTGTTACAATGGATAACAGTGGTCTTCTTTATTATCAAGGAAGAAAAGATCATCAAATCAAACTACATGGACAACGAATCGAACTTGGTGAAATCGAACGATGTTTACTTGCCACATCTGTATCTGCTTGTGTTGTCATGAAATGGAATGATGACCATCTAGTTGCTTATGTTCAATCTTCCAATATTAATGAACAGAAATTGCGTGAACATTGTCAATCTCATCTTTCATCACATATGATACCATCAATATTCATTATACTTGATAAATTACCTTTGAATCCAAATGGAAAAATCGACAGAAAACAGCTTCCTTCGCCCGACTTTTCTTTATCGACTTTGTTATCGTTCGATAAATCTGACACTCCTCTTAGTGAGCTCGAAAAACGTATACAAACTATTTGGTGTCAAATTCTTCAATGTACTGAACATCACATTTCGAGAACTACCAGCTTTTTTAGTGTTGGCGGTCATTCACTATTATTTATTAAACTTTATCATCATTATCAATCATTGTTTAACTTTGATACTCATATACTTTCTATTGCTCTATTTCTTCAACAACCAACTATATTTCAACATTCACAATTACTTCAAACAGCTATAACAAATAATATTAAAGCAACACAATGGTACACCTTACATATAAATAAAGGTAAAAATAGTTACTAGGAAATTATTAAAATAACTTCTATTATTTAATTCACAGGTATTGCTTCTTTTGCTCAAGAGCGTATATTTCTTGACGAACAAGTTCGTTTTTCAAGTGATACTGCTGTCTATAACGAACTGTTCACTTTACAAATTGTTCAGGGATCATTATCATCAAATCGTTTATTACAAGCATTTCGATATGTTTTGAGTAAACATAAAGTATTACGTACATCTCTTATTTTTAACAATGATGATGGTATTTTGAAACAAAGCATCACAGATACACATAAAACATTTACAATAAATATGAATCAAACATTTGAAAATGATAATGAACTTCGAGATATTATTTATCAAAGAACTATTAATCCTACACTCTTCGATTTATCAACTGGTCGTGTTTTTCATGCTGAAATTGTGAGACATCAAATATCATCAAATGAAAATGAAAATAATAGCAATGAATTCATAACGAATTCTGATGTTCTTCTCATTGCTTTTCATCATGCCGCATTTGATCGAGCAAGTCGTTCAATGTTTTTTAATGATCTATGTTTAGCCTATAATACTAATGCAATATCAATAGAAGATGATGATGAATTATTGCAATATATCGATTATAGCACACATGAACGTTTAATCGATATGACAACATCTCGTGAATTCTGGTATTTACAATTAGAAGAATACAATTTGGAATATCGATTATCATTACCAGTTGATCGACATCGTTTATCTCATGATCATCGATCGAGTTCTGCTTGTGTCACGCAAATCTCTTTTGACAATGAAATTTCACAATCATTTCTTGATTATGCTTCTATACATCATGTGACACCATTTCAGTTAGGTCTGAGTATATTATATGCTTTTCTTTTCAAGCTAACTCATGGTGAAAATGATTTATGTATTTCTTGTCTTAATGCTAATCGATACAAGACTGAACTGCAGAATATAATAGGAATGTTTGTTTCAATCTTACCATATCGTACTCGACTTGATCCTCATTGGCCATTTGATGATCTTGTTAAATATGTACGAGAGAAATGTTTATCAATTCTTGAACATTCTCATTATTCATTTCAACATATTCTTGCTAATTTACATATCAATCAATCAAACATTTCATTTCTCGAAACAATGTTTGACTTTATTACTATATCGTCACATAGCGATGAATTATCTTTCGATGGAGCAAGTTTAAAACCAGTGTCATTTGATCAATCGTTTGAAGTGGCTAAGTTTGATTTTATGTTAGTATTTGTCTATAATCCAACGTTGGAAAATAATCGATTATCATTTCGTTTAACTTGTTCCCATGATCTGTTTGATGAGATGACAGTTATGAATATAGGTCGAAGATTGGAATACTGTTTTCAACAACTTTTTTCACCAAATGAAGATATGAGTCGATTTGATGCATATTTTACATCTGTATCGAAATTGGATCTTATTTTACTAGAAGAAACTCAAGAACTGCAAAATATTATCTTTTTTCGACAACCACATACTATAAACGAAGGTATGTTTAAGTAGACAAAGTTTTTCCTAATGAACATTTATATTGACAATCAATACATTAAACAGAAATATCACGGGAGATACATAGGGGTGTCAAAAAGTTCTCGTAACAGCAGTCTAAAATTTCACCCTCATTGATTTTATTCTTCATGCTGGCCTATTCTGGTAGCGACACCTGTTATACATTAAAACACCAATACAAAGTTTCATAAGTGTCTATCATGGCAAATTTTTAACGAACTTTTTGAATACCTCTGTTTTCAGATGGATAAACTGTGTATACGCTCGTATATAAAAACTCGTTTATTATTAGGCTTAATAGCTACACAAATTCATAGTGAATTAGCTGCTGTTTATGGGCCAGATTTAGGTTCATATAGTACAGTTACTCGGTAGATTCAACGATTTTTAAATGAGCGAGAGTACTTGGAAGATAATCCTCGAAGTGGTCGTCCGTTATCCGCCATCACTCAACAGAATATTGATGGAGCTAAAGATCTGGTGAATGATGGACCACATATTATTATTGATTATGTTGCTGCCATCCTAGATACAGTTATCACATCACTTATTGTGGTGGATACTCGAAGATATTAGTAAAAAATTTACATAAGAAAAAATCATCATCAACGGAAGATAGCATAAATTTGCATTAAAAAAATGCAGTAGTACGCATGGAAAATATTGTTCTCCATTTTAATTATCTTCAAGAAGAAAAAATCAAAAGTATGGCTCATCCACCATATTCACCTGACCTTGCACCTTCAGGTTCTTGATTGTTCAATTATCTGAGACATGCCCTTGATACATGCCCAGATGCAACAAGTCTAGCCAAAGTGTTATCCAGGGAGCTTCATTCAATAACTATTCACGAATACCAAAAGACATTCCAGAAATGGATTGTAAGGATGAAACTCTGTATAGAACATCACGAGGACTACTTCGAACATTTACTATAAAAAGATCAGCAAAATGTTTTCTCTATGGATAAATATTTGAAAGTCCGAGAACTTATTGACTGACCTATGTGTGTTCCTGTATCATTCAGATCATCAGAGAACTGGTGCCCAGTCATAGGATGGACATGTGACTATGAATGAATGTGAATGTGGATTCTTTATTCATATACATACTCATATCTACCTATCTACACTCTTACCTACCCACACCCACCCTACACCCATTTGTAGATTTATTTGATACTGATTAAAACTCGCACAAAATAGATTTCACAAGCAATATAATTAACCATATTTGATAATTTTCTCTTTCATATAGCACCAGCATCATTTGCACAAGTTCGACTGTGGCATAATGAATCTATTCATTCCACTCTTCACATATCACAAGTACCAATCTACAACATGCCTTTTGCTTATTCTCTCTACTCTCACCATACTTTATCGGTACAACATCTTCGTCATGCTCTCCAACTAATTGTCATAAAACATCCATCTCTTCGAACAGTACTCATATTCCATACAGAAAAGAACCTACTTATGCAACGAATCATTGATATGAATGACAAAAGTAAACAACTTTTTACATTTATTGAAAGCACTTATGAAACACAGGAACAACTTGATCGTATTTTATACGTTGAGAAACGTGATGCTCATCTTTTTGATCTTGCTCAAGGTCTTGTCTTTCGATGTCATATTATTTACTATAAACAAATCTCTTCAAATGATATTCTTTCCGATAAAGATATAATTATCTTCAATTTTCATCATGCTTTCTTTGATTATCCATCCATGCACATATTTCTTCATGATCTCGATCAAGCCTACAAAACAGGTCAGCTAACAACTAATAATGACACCACTCTACGTTATGTCGATTGTAAGTATATTCAATTCCTTGTTCTATTTAAACTGCTCCTTTCTTCGTACTTAGATGCTGTTATTGAACAACAAATGTCAATGACTGGTGCAAGCATGTTTTGGCTTGATACTCTGCATGATTGTAAACTCGATCAATCTTTATCATTACCATTTGATCGATATCGTCTCTCTAACAAACATCGAACTGGTCATACAACATCTATTTCATTTGATTTTGGTCAAGATCTCTCACATGACTTCCTTACTCACGTATCATTAAATAACATATCACTTGAACATCTCATATTTGCTATTTATTTCATCTTTCTATTTAAATTAACTAATGGACAAACAGATCTATGTCTGGCGATGAACATCAGTAATAATCGATATAGAGATGAACTCAAATCAATCATTGGGCTGTTTGAGAATGTCATTCCATTACGATGTCAGTTAGATCCTCATTGGTGTTTTCATCAACTACTCGAGCATGTTCAAGAGATAACAACAAATAGTATGAAGTATTCATATTTTCCTCTTCAACGTATTCTTGATCAACATCCACATATTTCAAAACATGCATTTTTGGATACATCTTTAGAATTTTTATCATGTGCTAAAAACAATGACAACAATGCAACAATGATTGGTGATTCTCAATTTGTTGCAGCAACTTTCTTATTCAACGATAATGAAGATGAAACACTAAGTGTATCCGACTTCTCTCTTTCATTTCATCATGATATGAACATGAATCAACTATCATGCACAATTAATGCATCACTTGACCTGTTCAATAGAGAAACAGTGGAAAAGATTTCACAACGATTTCATTTCATCTTGCATCAATTATCTGCATCCATTATTGATAATCAAATAAACAAACCTATTTATGAATTATCGTTAACATTATCAAATGAACAATATCTAATACAATCATTGAATAATACGCAAACAACATTTTTATCTCCTCTCACTTGTATTCATCATGAGTTTGTATATCAAGTCATGAAACATCCACAGAAACTAGCTGTTGAACTAGATGAACAATCATTGACATATGCGGAGCTTTTTGCTTATGTTCAGATGTTAGCTGTTCATCTTTTAGATGAATACGGTATCATTCCAAATGAAGTTATCTCGCAATGTGTGGAACGGGGTCTATCTATGGTGAGTTAACCGTTGAAATAAATATATACCTTATATAAATTATTGAAATTCATTAGGTCATTGGTATGATGGCAATTGAGATGACTGGTGGTGTATATTTTCCATTGTCATTTCGAGATCCAGGAAATCGTTTGCATATGCTTTTGCAACAAACAAAAAGTCGTCTTGTTCTTTTCCATTATCTGACAAAAAATAAATTTAACGATATTATCACCACGTTAAGCATTGATTCTATATTGGTCAATAATAATTCATCTCAACAAATTAATATTAATGAATTATCATCTGTTCATGTGACTATCGATAGTATAGCTTACATTATATTTACTAGTGGTTCGACAGGAATGCCAAAAGGGGTAAGCATTGAATTCGCTATACAACTAACACACAATAAATGAGTTACATGAGAAAAAGATTAACTTTTTATTGTTTTCATTAGTTTCTAAGGAAATCTAATCGTTTCTAAATTTTATTGATATATTATTTATCTATAAAGGAGATTGTGTATTTAGAAGATATCATGATCTTTTTGTTTATAGATTCGAGTTCGACATAGAAATTTCATTCAATGTATCTATTCTTTGATGTGCATCGATTCATTTACGAACAATGATACAGTTATTCAAATGGCTAGATGCTCATTTGACAATCATATTCAAGAAATTATTGGTTCATTGATAATTGGAGCTACAATAATCATGCTTCGTCCAAGAGGAACTGTTGAATTGAACTATCTTGCTGAAATCATGAGAAACAAACAAGTTACTTATATGCACTCTGTACCAAGTTTACTTGGCAACTTTTTCACTTTTCTTAAACAGAATCATTATTTACATTTCATAAAATACATTAGATCACTTTGTACTATCGGTAAGTAACCATCATATGAACTATATAATCTTTTATAATATTCTCTTACTTTTTAGGTGAGCCATGCTCTATGAAGTTAGTCAACTTAATCCTCACAGATCTTACCCAGCATTTTACTTTTTGGAACTGGTATGGTTTAACAGAAACTACTGTTGCTTGCACTTTTTATCCGGTAAACATTAAATTCAATGCAGACAGTATCCCAATAGGACGTCCATTGCCTAATTATCAACATTTGCTTCTGGATAATTTCTTGCAATGTGTCATCATTAATCAAGAAGGTGAAATATTTATAGGAGGTGTAGGTGTTTTTGCTGGTTATCTTGGACGTGATGATTTGACACAGAGAGCTCTCATTGATATCGATGGTGAGATATTCTATCGAACAGGTGATCTTGTTCGAATGGATCATAATGGACTTCTTTATTTTGTTGGTCGAAAAGATTTTCAAATCAAATTGCGTGGACAAAGAATTGAGCTTGGTGAAATCGAACGATGTTTACTTAGTATCACATCCATCTCGACTTGCGTTGTCATGAAATGGAAAGATGATTATTTAGTTGCTTATGTTCAATCATCTCATATAAATGAAGAACAACTACGTCAACATTGTCAATCTCATCTTCCACCACATATGATACCATCAATATTTATTATACTTGAGAAATTACCTTTGAATCCAAATGGAAAAATAGATCGAAAACATCTACCATCACCTGAGTTTTCATCGTCAACTGATAACATTGATGATAATGTGCCGCATACTACTTTAGAAGAACAGTTACAGAATATATTTAGTCAAGTCTTTCGTATTGAATCTCCTCATATTGATGTTCCTTTTGGTCAACTTGGTGGAACGTCATTGAGTGCTATTCTTGCACTCTCATTGATTCGTCAACAGATATGTAATAAGGTTGATATTGGTCTTTTATTTACTAATCCATCTATTCGACAATTGGCTCAAGTAATACAACCATTATTAGTTCTCGAAGAGCCACAAGAGACAGCGTCCACAGTCAATGAAATTCATGAAACACATGATCGTCTCACACCTTCATTTGTCATCGAATCTTTAGGTATCGCACTTCTTGTTTGCCAGTGGTTGTGTCCAATCATGATAATTCATCAATGGTGTCCACTTCTTTTTCCTATCTTACCAATATGTCATCTTCTCTTCTATGTCATTTGCTCGCACCTACTATCACCGCAAAACATCAAAGGCGACAATATTTTCTCTTGGAACTATTATTGCTGGTGGTTTTTAGATCGATTATGGAATAATAATACATTTTGGCTACAACATATACTTGGTACACCTTCATACAATTACTATCTTCGTCTTTGCGGTGCTCGGATTAGTGTCAATGCACATATTTATACCACAACCATTGATGCTCCATGGTTGTTAGATATTGGTGATGGAACTTGGATTGCTGATAAAACGACTCTAAACTCTTTATATTACAATGATAATAGTACTTTTGCATTACATTCAATTAAAATTGGTTGCTATTGTTCAATCAGTGCCCGATCAATTCTTTTTGGTGGAGTTGATATGCAAGATAATATTATTGTTCAGCCTATGTCATCAGTCACTGGTTTCATCGCATCTCGAACGATTATCGATGGTGACGAACACAAATCGATTTCATCAGACATTTCAATCACATGTAGTAACCGATCATTCTCAATATGGCACAAGATCTATCAAGTTATTACAGTCATCTCATTGATCTGTATTCATTGTACACTCTTAGCCATTGTCTATAAAGTTTATTCAGTTGAACAAATACCACTACCAATTAGTATTGCTTTTTGCTGGACTTTATGGTCAATTATTGCTTGTTTTGTCACTCTCTTTCTATTAAAATTCGTAGTCGGCTCTTGTGCTGCTGGTGACATATACCCAATTGCATCTTGGTCATATTTACATAAGGTGTGGCTTCGTCAATTAATTGTATCTAGTTTTCACCATGCCTGGTCACTAACAACTGGATATGATTATCTTTACCCTTTTATTCTCCGTTGGTTAGGTGCTCAAGTTGAAGATGATGTCAAAATCGTGGACATAGACATCTTCTTGTCCTATCCAACAAATTTATTAAAACTTGAAACAGGCGTCACTAGTTTTGGTTACGTTTTATTAGTTCCTACTGAGATGACACTTGACGGTGACCATCGTGTAGATTGGATAACACTCGAATCTTATACAAACCTTGGTAATTTTTGTTCAATTTTGCCGGGTAGTCATCTTCTATCTCATACTATGGTTGGCAATTTAACACGTATCACTCGAGAAACGAATAGCAATAATGGAGATATTTTTATTGGTGTTCCAGCTCGAGCCATACCATTTCAAATGCCTTTTAGACAAGCAACAGAGGATCAAATTAAAACTATTCCATTTTGGAAGACATATTTTTCTCATTATTTTAATAAATGTCTTCTCGTAGGCATCTATTGGTCATGTGGTCTTCTTGGTGGACCAATCCTTCATACAATAATTGTTTGCGGTTTATATCGATGGTATTCACATAGTGACGATAAAATAATCAAACACATAATAGGAAGAGTACAAGAAGATTACCAAACTTTTATCGGTTCATTTCTTGGTAATACACAATGGTTAATTCGGTTATTTCGAATATATGGTGCAAACATCGGCAACAATGTGATTTTACCTAATGTTTCTTCTATTTTTGATTACAATCTGGTGACTATTGGAGATCATGTTCAACTTAATATCAATGCTATTATTGTGGTAATAGATGAGTTTTTTTTTTCCATTTTTCATATATACATTATTGTTCTCTACGATCATTTCAGTGTCACACTTTCGAACAACGTGTTTGGAAAGTAGCTCCTGTTACAGTAGGCAACTCGTGTATACTTATGAGTGGGTCAATTGTAATGCCAGGTTGTAAATTAATGGGTAACAATCGACTTTATCCGTTTACACTCGTAATGAAAAATGATTTATTACAACCGAACACACAATGGAAAGGACTTCCTGCACGTAAGTCATTTAGATAAATGAAGCTACACAGGCTTGTATCATAATACTATTAAGATGTTAAATAGTATTCTGTGAATTTCATTTTGTTCATGATGACTTTTGGATACTTCTTTATCTGAATTATTGAAAGCATGAGTTTCATTTCACTTTTCATTCATTATGGTTTCTAAATCCCTTGTAATGATATATATCAATTTCACTTTCATATGATTTGTTCTGTGTCTCAATGAAAAAGTGAATGAATAAGTCATTTTTTATTATTGACGACAACTGACCGAAAAAATCATTGGATCGATACGGTATGTCCTATAAAATAAATTTTCTTCGCATTAACTTTTCAAATAATCATTATGCATAATATATTCAACGTATTCGGTATACTTTTCACGTCTTTTGCTCTATGTCGCTAATATATATTAAATTTAAATATATCTTTCTATTATATTTGACTCTAAAATATTTATTCAGATTCCACTGTTAGGTGGTATCATCATCTTTCTTCATTTCTTTCCTAAGGCATATATGTATAGTTTCTTTCGTTCTGTTGTTACGTATACATATATCATATATAGTGTGATTCATCATCTTCTTCTATATATGTGTTCGCGTTCTCTTCTATATCGTTCATAGATTTTTCCTTTCGTTATGTTATATGGATTTCTCTTCTCTTATCGTTTATGTATGTGATGCTATATGTTATGGGACTTTTCCTCATCTTCTTCCCTTGATATTATGTTGGACATTTCCCTTACAGGGTGTTCCACCATCCTATATATAGCGTGTGCTTTTATACGAATAAAGAGAGAGGTATAGGATTCACATCCTCACACCACCCTACGGGATTAACCAGTTACAAGTTAGCATTCTATACCGTTGAATAAAAGTTTGTTCGATTTTCTTGGCAACATTTAACCGATTAATAATATATATTTCCGTTATTATAGAGTTTGACTACATTGAACAGTATTTCAATGGAATCCAAAAGTCTTGAATTTACATATCATACGATCTCATAAGATTGTAAATTTGCTGTATTTTTCTAGAATTGACAAATAGTATCGTACATTTTCTTTACTCTACATTTCTTTTCTTAGATTCTTTGAAAGTAATATCATTTAAAGTTAAACTATTCTTTTGATGATCATCCTATATGATATATATTCATCATTTTATTGTATTGTGTTTCTCTCTTTTAGAATCTTATGTAGCAAAACCAATATTATCTCGATCTGTACCCGTTTGTGATGATGTCGTCAAATATCAACAGAAATCTAACACCTTTGATCGGCTGTCTTTGTGGTATAAAAAAATTTCAAGTATCTATACGAATGTCAATGAACTACAATTTATGAATTGGGGTTATGCAGATTTGGACGAACATATCGATGACAATACTGGTTACTATTCGAAGAAACTTTATGAACAGGTAAGTGAAGACGAATATAAGAATTCATCTGAGAGTTTTTTATAGCATCTCGCTAGTATTCATAACAGAGTTCGTTTTTGCTGTAGATTGAAAAGTCAATGAAGTGACGAATCTGTGTAGATGTGGGAGTAATAGATAGTAAATCAATCGAAATCGAAGAATTTTTGAGTTGTTACTGATTAGTTCGAATAGCTCAAAATGAACTAATCACGATTTTAGTTGTGACAGTATCAACATAAGATTTAAATCTTTTCTTCAAAAATATATTAGAGAATATATAGAAATATTAATTACATCTTAATCTACCTTTCTTTAGTAGAAAAAACTTGGCAGTGAATGAAAGAGAGAATGTCAAATGTCTTAGAAATCATTATTAGAATATTTTTTGTTTTTCATTCTAGGTTCTTGCTAATGTAGCACTTCCAGATAAAAATATACTCGAAGTAGGTTGTGGCAGAGGTGCTGGTGCTGCCTGGTGTGTCCATACATATGCTCCTCAATCTTATGTTGGAATAGATCCTTCTCGAGATGTCATTAACTTATGTGAACAAATTTATTCGACAATTCCTCAACTCTCGTTTATGATAGCTGATCCAAAAACTCATTTACCATTTCAAAATGAGTCAATGAATGTAATTCTTTCGATTGAAACAACCAACATTTTTGATGAGATAGAAGCAGTGAAGAAATTTGTCAATGAAATTACTCGTGTGCTTAGTCCTAATGGATACTTTCTCTGGTGTGGCTTGTGTAATGTAGATGGTTCAAGTGTATTGATTGATTATTTAACAACAAATGATGCATTTATTATCAAAGAGAAGGTCAATATTACAAGAAATGTTCTTCATGCACTTGACATTCAAAGGAACTCACGTGCTGACTTTATTGAGCGTTATATTCAATCTGCAGATCAAGAATATTGTAGTTTATTAGCTGGATTACCTGGCACTCAACTGTACGATAATATGCAACAAGAACATGCAGAATATTGGCGAGTTGTATTCCACAAGAAGATAACAAAAAAGACACCTCTTATTTAACACTAACATTTACTCTCTTTTTTAACTAACTCAAATAGTTTAGCTTGCTAGTTAGCGGTATTTTATTCTAGCCTTATTTAGAAACTTACTTTTTTTGATAATAAATAAACAAAATAATTATTATAGAACATTTTGCGAGGATGTAGATGTGAGATCAATATACAGGCCTCACACTATCAAAGATCAAACGGATTTTTTTAATTTAGAATATGATTCGCTCTAAAAGAACGAACTATTGTTAGAAAAACCAAAAAGGATTCATCGACATAGTCAGATACCACTGTATGACGAGTTATCTCAGGTACCTTGGATTTTCTTAGCAAAAGTGTCAAAAGACAGCTATTATTTATTCACACTAAAATGATGTTTATATTCTTGCATTTAATTTGATTTTTATTTAAAGGTTACAGAAGTACGATTAACAAATAGAATAAGAGAACGGGCTCCTGTCTTTATAAAAGAACTTTAGAACTTTCTTCGGTTTCGGTATTTGAAGATCATCTCGTATTATACTTTGTGCAAAGAGGTATACTCTCTCAGTTCATGCATTTAGATAACTTTGACATAAGTCTTGAACAATAAATCAGTCTGTTAGTCCATCGGTTTGTTAACAAACAAATATTCTATATTTCTGAGTATAAGACTTGAAAGTGTGAATCTTTTTTGCACAGAGCTGACTGTAAAATCAATCTCTGTGAGTCAAAGCGAATGAAATACGAATTTCTGTTATCTCATTGGCACACTATTTTCTTATTTTGAGCAAGACTTTATGTTCTACAAATTGATTGTTATGTACAAAATAAACTACCAAACCATCTTTTAACATTGAGAGAAACGCAACTTTCTTTTATCAGAAAATACTTCCTTTATTCTTTCATTCAATAATGCAAGTTCTGAGCATCGTCTTCTTTTTAATCATACGTTCTGGTACATATAACTATGAAATTCTTTAAATATCACTTATTGATTTTTCGTAATTCTTGAACGTTTCTTCTCATTCAGCTCTTGTCTATCAAGCTTGAAATATCTTTGAACAAATTTCATGTAATTAAAGAACAGATCAAATTTATACAACAATAGTTAGTAATCTTTGTAAAACTTAAGTAAAAACTTTATCTTTTATTTATGTTGATACATTCAGCCGAGTTTTTCTTTTTAATCAAGCACAACAACTAATTGATGAATATGAAAAATGTCATAATCTTTACATTTCAATGTACAGTAAGTTGACTAGTTGGTTCTTTCTCTACTTAATATTTTTATATATTTGAAAAAAATAAAAGTGTCAATACTTTCATCTACTCGCAATGGAACGAATATTGATTTATCTTGAGGGCGTGGGTGTGTATAAGTGAGAATGATAGACGAATACATATCCGCACTCACACCCGCACCCATACTCACTCATACCCTCACCCACACCCACACCCACACCCACACCCACACCCACACCCACACCCACCCACACCCACACCCTCACCCTCACCCACACCCCTGCTTCCGAAAACTAATAGGAAAAAGGGGTTTGCCCCTCCCTGCTTCTAGAAAATTCACTTTTTTTGACCATTAAAATAGAAAAATTAGGCTTACGCCCCCCCCCCCCCCCCCACTACCCCCCCCCTGCTCCGACACCTGACTTACGCCCTACCCACACCTACCCTTTTTCGATGATCTGAAGATCCTTTTGAGTCTCCTCTAAAATAGACAGTACTTCGGCGCCTATGGTTGTTGTGCTTGTTTTCGCTTCATTTGAATTAGTTTAAGAATCAAGTCAAATCAATGAATATGCTTCCAAATGGAAGGGAACACTCAGGACGTCTACGTTCGTCAAACACTGTTTTTTTCTATAATTATAATAGAGTCCTGTTCTTTTTTTATTTTTATAATTGCATACTCAAATACGAAAGAAACGTAAGTGAAATATTATAGTAGCAGAGTCAGAACAAAGCTGCATTGTTATTGGGCGAAGAAAAATAGAGAGAGAAATGTTAATAACAACGTATGGATTGAATCAACGTCTCTATGCACACAACGAAACAGAACAGTAATGTAGAATTTCATTTGCTGTCCGCGACGTGTTTACATTTTTTCTTCTTAAATAAATACTTTCGTTTCAACATAGCTTTTTAATAAAAATACTTTTTTCAATCAGTAGTCTTACATATACCAACAGTAACAGAAATGCTGAGAAAAGAAGTGTAAGTAGCTGTAAGCTTCGAGATGTTTTTGGTTTAGAACTGACATAATCAGATATTTTTAGGTTCATAAAAAAACAAAGAACTTTCCCTATACGCTTAAAAACTGAAATATTTTATTTCACTTTGAAATAATGATACAGCATCATGTTCAGTTACTGTATCAGACAATTTATAATGATCCTTAGATCGTCTCAGATATATGCATCGACGTGTAGAAGTATTTTTTTAACTTAATCCATGTGAAGAAGTACTTTCAAATGGGACTTTGCACACCTTTCTCGAAAATAATATTCAGGCAACATGCGTGAGTAAGTGTGAGTGAAAGAACAATATAACACACTCACTCATACCACCCGCACAGTGTATTTTTCTAGCAAGTTACACCATAATTTTAGATAATGGGCAATACGGACAGTACAACAAAAGAAGAACAACGCATTCTCAGTCAGCCACAAACAGGTGAAGCAAGTGAATTCTATTGGGCTTGTCGAAATGGCAATATTGAAAAAGTAAAACAGCTTCTACCGACTATTTCATACGAAGATTTAAATCGACTTGAACCGAATGGAAGTACACCTCTTCATGCAGCGTCTTACTCTGGTCAAGTGGAAATCGTCCGTCTTCTTCTACACAAACGTGGTTGTCGACGAGATCGTCTAAATCGACATGGGCTGACTGCCTATGAAGAAGCATTTTCCGACGACATTCGCCAATTATTTCATCGTCCTGCTGGAAGAAATCGATTTTGTGATCAAGATGATAGTGAACAAGAAGATGTTGAGAAAATGTTTGAAATAACCGTGAAAGAAGATGCGAAAGAAGAAGAAGATGATGATTCGGAGGAATTATCTGAGGATAAATGGTTACAACAGCGTGCAACTTCAAAAGAAATCGAAAATGCGCAGATATTTTTAGGTACAGCAACACGTCTTACTGGATCCAAACTAGTACGACTATTGTTGGATGATTTCGATAAAGATTTTAGTCAGGGAAAGCTCAAAGAAGATCTTAATGAAATGCTTACTGAACATGTTACCCATAAGGATTCAGCATACGATAAATGTAGAGCACTGGTTACTAAAGCTTTTGCAGAGAATAGACCAGAACCTTTGCTTCGATTGTATTCATTGGAAACAGGTTTTTATCGTGCTCTTGCTAATGATGTCGAGCCTTTGATTACGCCATTATATATATTATTAGAGAAATTGAAGCCTCGTTATTTTCAAGGCGTTTCCTATCGTGGTGTAAAAATGACTGCCAAAGACTTGCGTTCTTACCGACGGGCACTCAAGAAAAACGGTGCTATTCAAACAAAAACATTTTGTTCAACGTCATTAGATCGGTCTGTAGCCGAAAGATTTGCTGGTACAACCAATATGAATGACGAAAAACAAAGCGTTTTAATGATATTTAACTTTGCGGAGAAATGTGACACAGCAATCAATTTAAACAGATTATCCAATGAACTTCCATGTCTATCAGAATATGAAAATGAAAAAGAAGTATTAGTGTTCCCCATGACATTATTCTATGTTACGCATATTGAAGAAGGAACAAACTGTATGACAATTTACCTGAAAAATATTGCTGTGCCAAAAATCGGTTTATTTCGTGCGCTAAAACGTGTGTATGATACTGAAAAATGGACAAATGACAGAATATATTGACTTTAGTCGAAAGGAAAAATGTCGAATGGATAAATGTCGAATACGAAATGTCGAAAAGAAAAATGTCGAAAAGTATAAATGTCAAAAAGTAATATGTCGAAAATAAAATGTCGAAAGTAAAATATGACGAAAAATTCGAATATGGTTTATGGGTGGGTGTGGGTGTGGGTATGAGCGTGGGCGAAGAAGACCCTTTAATACCCACACGCACACTCACACTCTCACCCACACCCACACCTAGAACCTCACCCACACTCACACGCACACCCAGAACCTCACACACACCCACACTCACACCCTTGTTTGAATAAAATGATTGAAAGCATACTTTTACCTATTGTTTATTTCTGATAACAGTGACACTGCTAAAGTTTTACTCCTATCGTTTTTAACCTTTTCGACATTTTTCCTTTCGACATTTTTATTTTCGACTAAACTCATACATACCAAATGACAAATAAAATATGCGTTGAGAAATTGTTAGTGTTAAAAATTACTAAGCAATAGTTTGCTAAGATGGGTGAGAGTGTGACTGGGATGAGTGGGCATGGATCTGAGTACGTGTGCGTGTATGTGTAGGGATAATCAGTTTATATCTTACATAGGCACACCCACATCCGCCATCTTGTGGGGTGCGTGTATGATAATCTGTTTTTCTCTTACACTTACACCCACACCCCTATATATCAAGATCAATTTTCAAATAATGTTCTTTCGACCAAATGCTAATCTCTTGTATTATAAGTGATCGTTTGTTATCCATAAAAATCCTTGTAAAAACAACTGGAATCTTTTCATAACATTCGATAATACTGTGTTCAAGCAAAAGTCTCAGATGTGAAGGTGTTGCGAAAGAAAAGATCCTCACACACACACAAACCCGACTTGTTTGAATGATTATTTGATAGACTTTTTTATTCTGATCAGATATCGATAGTACTAAAAAACACATAAGAGTATATAGACGTTCATATTGTAAAACGCACACAAGCAATGTAGTTGAACTAGATATGATTTGGAAGAAGCGGTTTTTAGTCCATGGTAAGAACTTTCTGATAATATGAAATAGACATTGTATAATCATCTAGAGCATCGTGAACATATCCAAGTTGATAGAAGTAGTTTATGCAATTCTAATCAAGAATCTACCAACTGTGTCAACTCATTTCGAAGAACTTCCAACAAATATAAGGGAAGCCTATTTATTTTTCGTAACAGAAAAAAAATTCTTGAACGATATTAGTTCACCATTTGTTTTCGATATTTTATGAAAGTTTTCTATAAAGGATGAAAGGTTAGAAAAGATCGATGATTTTAAATGATATTATTTCTCAAATCGATCGATCTTTTTCAGTTCTTCACAGTCATATTCTGAGGAGAAATCAGTGGTATATTTGATAGATTATTACTTGAAATATCTTTGTTTATGAAAAGAAAACTTACTGCAATCGAATCTATATCATGCTCTTTGATATTGATTTGAACATCTTCACATTGAAATTTGATTCTTTTCCATTATCTAATCCATTATTCATCTTCGAATAATGTCATCGTTCAAATCTTTCGTCATGAGAAGTGTCTTTCTATCATTAATCTCAGTGCATATCTGCTCTTGATTAGAATGGAAATATCTTGTTTTTCTTTTCGTTTTCTTCCTCTGATATTCAACTCATTGTGATAAAAACAAAAAATATTTTGATTGAAAATATAAACAGATATTTGTATGTGGATATGATCAATCGATAATATATTGTTTATGTCTTTTATTTAGTTCTTTTTCTTTTCATGTTCGCATTTATAAATACAAGAATGTGTTCTACTATTCTTTTAAAACAACAAAGAACAGTGTATTATGATAAAAGAAATGTATTTGTGAGAGAATTAGTTAATATGTAGTATTGATTCATTTATTCGCACATATAATCTTTGATTTTTAGTTATTATTTTAATTAAAAGTATATTATTTTGATCCTATTCTTGATTCAGCTACTTTTCATGAGTTTTCAGATGATGATAGAATGGATATGCAGAAGAGTTTACCACAGACATTCAGATCAACATCCTT